ACATGTAAACAAGAAGCTGTAGTGATGCTTCATCCTGCTAAAGCCTTGTTAGCTTTAGCTCTCTACCAGACCATTGCTTGGTAGAAGTTTTAATATTCCAAACGTTTGCATCTAACCTGCCGATCATCCTCATGGAAGCTAGCACAGCTGTGAATAAATGTTTAGTAAAATGGCTCAAAGAACCAGTGACCAAGATGCTGTTGAGTGGGTGATTAACAAACTCCCTAGTGATGGGCTTCTGGAGCATCTTATCACCAGTGCTTAGTTGTCTGCAGGGCAATATATCCTTTGTGCTCTCAAACTTCAAAGCAAGCTGAAGCTGCATTAAAATAAGCTGTTCGTAAGCTAGACTAGAATGCAAACTCCTAAATTAATAGTGCCAGCTTAACACCTCAAGGTGTTTGGCCAGTCTAAAACATAGTCAAGATAGCACACAACAATCTGCTACAGCCGCACAGAGTAGTGTTAATACAGTAACACTATCAATAATAGCTATCTTTTATGATCGCTTTAGTGTTTGGTTCTTTTTTTGGTGCAACTTGAGGAATGGTTTGGACACCCCCATTGGAGGACCCTCCAAGTAGCTTCTGATAGATTTCTTTTGCAAAAACGGCATCTGGGCAGAGTGGGAAAGAACAGGCTGCTACGATCTTTCTAGACAACAGTCCTGTCTTCTGAATCACAACTTGTGGGCCACCTCTCCTTGTCTCTCTGTTTGTGCGCTCCTTGCAGCCCTGGCTTGGCTTAGCTCAAAATGAAAAATTCTGTTGCCTCGAAACAGCCTTACTCAGAGCAGTGGACTTCCTTTCTGTTCCCCTTCCCGTGCCTCACTGGCAGAGGCTTTGCACTTTCACATGTTACGCTTTGGCATTAGTGGATTGGGTTTGTGAGCTTTCTTCTACATGGACAGGCAGGAGGTAACTAATGACCTGGTTCTCATGCAGGTCACAGGAATTCCAATGAACTGTTCTATCAAACTGCAACTAAGCCTATACATAAAGAAGGTCGCTGGCATAAGGTAAGTAGCTCCTCCCAGGTGTCATTTAGGTAGGAGATGGGTGTGGGGTGGCTGATACTCCCAGCCTCCCTCCTCTCCTGAGATTTGTCTAGATGCTGCTTGCTGCTCCTCCTCCCGCCCCCCTTCTTGGCTATGTCCAGAAGAGGAAAGCAACTGGCACGTGTGCATTTTCCCCCCCGGCTGGTGAGGAAAGGGGACAGAGGAGTGAGTGACCTACACTGTGTGCTTTCCTCTTGCTACCTGAGTGGTGGAAGGGGAACAGCAAGTAACAAGCGGTGTTAGGAATGGGGAGAAGGCTTTTGCCCCAACATCCCCTGCACTCAGCCCTGACTCCTGTATTCCAACCCCATGCACTGAGCCTCCTCCCTGCACTCCATCCCACACCTATACTACTTACGGGTAATGTCATGTCGCAGCCCTCAGGCCTGCTCTCCGCATTTCTTCCCTCCTCCCCCGAAAGGCAATACAACAGTACCTATAAGAAGTCTAAGCTTCTCTCAGTTCTGATCATGCTATCCATCCAGCTGTGCTCATGAACTGACAAGTGCTACATGGCTTTCCCTATCTAGCACATCATGTGCAGATGTGTGTCTCCACTAGGTTTTCTTATTTAGCTTGTTTTAGCTATTTGTGTGGATGAATCCTTTGTACCTGTTCATGGCTGTCTGCACTAGAAACCTAACAGGGGTGTAAAGAGATGTGACCTCAGACACAATTGTGCCATCAAAAGCCCCAAGTGCTGCGTGTGTTTAGAGGCAAAACTCCTCTCTCCTGGTATACCTTGTTTCATGTGGAGGTAGTTTCTGTACTAGGGCAAAACAGTCCCTCAGTAGGAGATGTATTTACAAAGCATTTCTAGTGTAGACATGGCTTAACATCAGACTGCAGCTTGAAGAGTCGTGTAATAGTCTCCCTGGCTGGATGACCCTGTTACAAATTTTAAAATGCTGTATGCTCACAATTGCAGACAGCCTTCCAAAAGCAGGCTTCTGAGCTTGCATATAAAAACAAGTGACGTGCATGAGATCCAGCCAGTTTGGGTGCATGGCACTTCTAGAAAGCCTGTGGTGTAGCATTTGGAGCTTTCGGGAGCGGTAAACTTGCTCTTTAGCTCAGTTTTATTCCCGAATTAGCAAGACTGCAACACTCTTGCCTAAACTTCCAGTTAGTTGACTAGTCCTTAACATCCCTATCTGAAAACAAATGAACAAGTGACGTGCATGAGATCCAGCCAGTTTGGGTGCATGGCACTTCTAGAAAGCCTGTGGTGTAGCATTTGGAGCTTTCGGGAGCGGTAAACTTGCTCTTTAGCTCAGTTTTATTCCCGAATTAGCAAGACTGCAACACTCTTGCCTAAACTTCCAGTTAGTTGACTAGTCCTTAACATCCCTATCTGAAAACAAATGCTATTTGACTAATCCTTCCCGCAGCAGGGGGGGAAAACGGGGGGGGGGGGGGGGGCG